GGCCCTGGTCAGGAATGTTGCCTTAAATATAGCTCGTTTATAACGTCTTGTTGTCAGTTTACTTTCATATACAGAACTAAACACCGTTTTAATTCTGGGATAGTCACATGTCCAAAATTTTACTGCTAACTTTGTTTAAAAGTTAGCTAGTCTAGTCACAATGATTTAGAATGAGACTGAAACAGCAACGAAATTAGCCTTTTTATTATTTAAAGTGAGCAACATCTGATCATACTCGACCACTTAACGTGTATTTACATATTATATTATATTATATTATATTATATTATATATTTAGGAGAACAGCAGTGCTAGAATGATGTTGAAGAAAGGTGAAGAAGCGAAGAAGCTCTGGTGAGGTCTTCATTTAGTTTATTGAAATATGTATTAACAGTTTTTAATTTTTAAATAAACTAAACTATTTTATTATGAAGAGGAGCAGCTCAGGGAAGACATAGGAGAGCCAGGTGGAGTTTCAGGGTGTGAAGATATAAACATTATATTAATAAGAATAGAACCAGAAAGGAGAACAGGAGGAGACTGATGTCAGGTTGATTTCTTTCAACGTTTCAATATTTTTTTCATTATTTCCACACTATAAGGGTAATGGTTAGGAGACAATAAGAAAAGTGCTTGAGGAGAGGTTTAAAAATAAATTAGTGAAAATTTTTGCTACACAGTAAATAGAGTTGAGATGTATAATAATGTATACATCTGAAAATTAAGTTGTTTAAATTCTCATTCTGTATGATAAAAACATACTTTTTATATTTAGTTCACATTCTGACACTGTACATTACTGTAGTGTCTGTTGTAAATCCATGAATCCATGCAGGAACATCAGGCTGCAGAGAGTCAGAGGGAGGCAGAGACAGAAACACATATCTGTAGATATTTTAGTTAAATGTTTGCGGCTGAAAATGACAGGAGAAAAAAAACATTTAGTCTTTTTGCTTCAGTGTTTTTTATGGATCATGTTTGGTAAGTTACTGAATGCAGAGCTGGAAAGTGAGACTGAGTTAACAGTGAGGAGCTAAGGTGTCAGATGTGAAAAGTATAATTTTTATTTATTTTGTAGATCAAACTGTTGCACTGATGTAGAGAGTTGTTAAAGAAGAACAAAACTTGTTTTTTAGATTTTATTTTTGTTGGTCATACTACTCAATACTGCTGTATTGAGTTTAAAACTGCCGAGTCCTATTTTATGAGCTGTTTTCTACTTTGGTTTTAGAAAGAAGTAGAACCAGTTCAATTACCAGTCAATTTATATCAATGCATTTTGACCAATAATCAAATGTCTTTTGACCAATAAAATATATCAGAATCTGTTAGCCTGTCTGTGCTACCAGAGTATTTAGCTTGCTAGTTGTGAGGCAAATGCTAAAGTGAGTGTTCATCCTGGAATGACGGTCATTATACTATGCATAACTTTAATCTGATTATTGGATTGTAAATAGTAACGTGTTAGAATACTTGTTACTGAAACAAGGGTCAGATTAGAGTAATGCATTACTGACGTGTTGATGGCATAATTGTTTGACATTTCTGCTCAAGCTATTTACTGATCTGTCAGGTTTCCGATATGCGTCCCCCTCAATGACAGACTCATTCCTACACCCTTGCTTTGGAAAGTTTCTTTGCAAAGGGGAAAGGCCCAGAGAAGAGACAGGAGAATGGATTTATCCCGGTAGGTTATTCCCACATTCCAAGCCCGCTCTGTCTGATACGCGCCAACTGGCTCGCTAATGAGGCAATGAAGCTTCAAACTGCTTTGCCACTTAGAGAACAAGCACCCTGTGCATTAGCAACACTTCGGGTGTCATTGTCTCCCATCAGTCCTAGATAGGACCGTCTCGTTGCAGATAAACAAGCTCGGAGCTCCCATTAATTTGTCATTATCGAGAGTTAAAATTTTCATGGAAATAAAATGTTCGTTTTTGTGGTGCATCTGTATCTTTTTTTTAAAGGGATATGTAAGCATTACCACAGCGACCAGAGTCAGAGAGTGTTGGAGCAGTGGTCGAGACGAGAGGAGGAGTAGAGCTTGGTTCACACAGCACGATTTAAGAATTGCCGGCCAATTTTTCAAACCTCAGTGACCACACAGCCAATAAAAGTACAACAGGTTCGATCGGCTTGTGTGTTGAACAGCAGAAGCAATACACCACACGAACCGATTTCACTCACGAACATTCCGATTCCAGAAGAAAATCCCATAAAAACCCCCAACATACCATAAGTAAATTTAGAATAAATAAACACGGCTGACAATCTAGAAGCAATAGTGATAGTTTTTGGACTAATTTTAAGTGATGAAAGACGTAAAAAGAAAAGGCATTGGATAAAAGACTTCGGGGGCAGCTGCTCTATTTGCTGCACTATGCACTAAACCAGGCTCCAAGTTGCGTGATGTCATCTGTATGGGA